AACAAACTGTTCTGAGACCAGGAGCAAAGAAAGAATTTAAACCCCGCATTAAAATAATTCTTTCACTTCAGAATGATATTGTTACTTACAATGCACCAACATAAGCTGTTTTTTTTTTCTCAGCGGGAGAGCAGTTTTTGAAAAAAAAGCCAGCAAAATTGTATATGGTTATGTTTTCCTCAAAAAATGCAATACAAACATTTTGAAAGGCAAATGCTTGCCATTCCTGTTGGTAAATAAAGGAACAGAACACTTACTCAGCTAATTAAAATAAAATCACATCTGCTTCGGGTACTTGATTCGTACAGTAAAGAGAGCATTAAAAGCTTTCTAACCCGGAGAGAGACTAATATAGGCATAGAGATAACTGGGGTGTTGGCTGTTGATGCTTTTTAGGGTAGAAGACAGTGAGCACCTACAGTATTCATCTCCTCCACAGCAGTGAAGTAAGGCAGCAGAACAAGGATTTCAGGTTAGGGGAAAGATAAAAAAACACATAGAGAAGGATAATTTTTTTTAATAAATAATGAATTTCGTATCTGCAACATTATGATTCACTTGCAGAGAACATGAGAGATATACCTGTGAGATAAATGATGGAAAGCAACTGATATGTTTGTGAGTTCTAGAAATGGTTGACAAGCAATACGGATATTTTAGTAGTTCTGTATGTACAAATGCCTTTATTATCAGCTCTTTTTACTTTAACAATTTGTCTGGTCTGAAGCAAATTAGACCAAACTTTATGGATCTGGACCGACATCTATTAATAAACCTACTCTGTGCAAGGATTAGAGGTGGTGGCCTGTTTGTTATTTTCTAATAGTGAAAAATAAGGACCAGATGTTTATAAAGCTCTACTGTATGCTTTATTTTTTTTAGATATTTGTAGAGAGCAAGGCGCAGAGAGAAATGTTTTCAGATAGGTCATGTGACACGCAGGGGTTAGGTCTGGGGGTATCAAGGATAAAACAGTGAAATTGGGATGACACCACAAACTGGTTTGGATTAAAATCCTCTGCTACTTATCCGTAAACAAACACAGATGTTTCAAAGACTTCCCTCTTCTGTCAGTATGGGGGAAACCGTATTAAAAGGGTCTTTAACTCCCAAGCCCTATTTGCAGTGGCGAAAGACTATGTAAACTTAACATTTAAACATCTTCTTTTTAAAAGCAAACCAGAGGAAATTATCATTAAACAGAAGAAGCATTACAACGAAATTCAATATACTTTGAATATCAATACGCAACCTGAATGACATAAACTCAGAGACTTGTAATAAAGCTTGTCATAGCAAACTACGTAGAAATTAAACTTTCTAGCAAATATCACCTTTTCCCTCCTTATTCACAAAAAATAGTAAATTCACTGACCAGCTTCAGTACATTGGTGAGATCTGAACAATTTCTCGGAAAGTTAATTCTAAGTGTGAAAAAGGGATTAGATACAGTACCATGCTGAAATGTGTGTTTTCTCACTTAGAATTAATTAAATGTGTAATTGTAATTCAATTGAAAGGGGACTCTTTTTTCAAGCAAAAATAAATGCATCAATTTATAACTAAGAAAACTAAAAATGTTAAACTCCACTCCTTTGTTTTTCCATCTGTAAGTATGACAGCTTTATAAAATATTTTGAAATCATGTCTACATTGCTGTCCAGTCTCATTTACCTTGCATGTGTTTTGTTTTTCACACAATGAACCTAATTTTTAGATATTTCCAAGACACAGAAAACGAGAACAAGTTAACTTTATCCCGTTTGTCCAGCATTGACCTCCAGAAACACCCAAATCTGATTTGAGCCTTCTGTAGTTTTTCTAGCAAAACTGACAATGTAGACATACTCCTATTCCAAATTTCAATATAAATTATTTTATTTCTACCAAGTTAAACGAACTTTACCAATTTAATTAATTGAAGACCAATTGCTTTCCCTTTAGTCTCTGTATAAATAAACGAGTGGGGTCTAATTGTGATAGATAAACAATCAGTTAACACAACTATTATGCCAATGAAATTATGTTCACAATAATTTTAAGGATTTAGTGCTTGTATTTTGTCATGCTAGTTTTGTAGAGTAAATTTAAAAATAGAGATTTCAAACCAACATGACAACATGACTGTAGCTATCATTGACTTCCAGCACAGAAAGGCAAGAATGCAAAATAATTAAACCTATTTAATTTTTCTCTGTTTTTGTCATAGCAAAGTCCAGATTTTCACAGAGTAATTTCAAACTTTTCAACTCAGACATAAATATATCCTCTGTGAATTGCCAGAATTAATTATCCTGCATGTAGTTTATGTTGAACATGTTTAGAATTTTATATTTAGAATTTTGTAAGTGGTATTTACTTATGAATGAAGATGTCATATTTATACCCTTTTTTCAGAAATGTTTCTAAAGTCCTGCATTTGAAAATAGCTGTCTTTTGAAAAAAACAAAAACAACAAAGTTCTAAATAAAGTCCCGGTGATATTTTCTTTTTAAATAATTAAATCTGCCCTGACTGGATTTGCCTCACTGATACTTTCGTGATGAAAAAAGCATACATTTCAGAAATGTATCAGGGATAAATCAAATGCAGACTAAGAGATAATTTTAAACTTTTGGTTTGGCAAACTCATTTTTTTGTTACTTTATTTTGGCTTTTGCAATTGATCAAGATGTTGAAAAAGAACGGAGAAAGATATTATCAGCACTCTTGTGTTGTATGTGAGCACTTCCAAAAACACATTGAATTATTATGTTTCATTACACAACAATAAATAAAAAGTAAATTATTTTAAATCGTTTTCCATTGTGTAATTGTAAATATCATCTCTTATTGTTTTGTTTTTGAAATAACTTACATTTTTATTTTCTGTTTTGTAGTGGAATTGATGCTTTCATTAGGTATATTTTTGGAATGTAAGAAACATGTATGTCTGAGATATAACATTCAGCATTATTTTATGACAATTGTTACAGTTTTATTTAACAAACATTACAAATTAGTTGCCTCTGTAAATGTAAAATACATGTTATGTTAAGCTTTCTTGTTACTTTACAATCAAAATATAAGACAAATGTCCATGAAACACTGTTGTCAAAATTAAACAAACTCTTCTACACATTGTATCATTTCACTTTAAATATGTAATAGTGGACTTTGTTACTTTTATTTTCAGACTTAAAAACAATCTTTAAAAAAAATATACAGAGCAAAATTCAATCTCTCAAATATTGAAGAGGATTTTTTCTGTTTATTTGGCTTCTCAAGACCAAGTTATGTATTTAATTGTAACAAATAAGTCTTAAGATAAATGTTTCCAAACTGGAGTAAATGCAAAGGTAAACGTATATTATAATCCATGTTTACCACAGTTAGTTCAGATTTTAAACCAGGCAAAATAGGAAATACAATTTTTAACACAACATTTTTATGTCTATCAATTTCTTGCAAGGAAAAACGTTTTATTTCTCTAAAATTAAAACTGAAAACAAGATTCTCGCGGTTGCAACATGTGAATTTCACCAGGAAAGACCTGATGTCTCCCTATGTTGGCATTCCCACTGAAGAGTTTTTCCCCTTTTCCCACCAGTTTGCAATCTGCTACTTAAAATTGTGAGAAAAATGCACCACCCGATGAGCACGTGTTTAAGCTTATGAAGAGACATTCCAAGGAACAAAAAGATAATTATTCGTTTGTCTGACGCAACGAAAAAAGGCAGCAAAAATTGGGCGCAGATATTAGTTGCTGATTTTTTTTCCCCCGTCGGTGAAGAAAATGTCTTGAGCGGGGGGGGGGGGGGGGGGTTGGGTGAGGAAACGGGTAAATGTGCCCTGGAAGTAATTCCTAAGCCCCCAAACACAAGGTGAATAAGAGGCTCAAGAGCAGCTCCACACGTGGGCCCAGTACTTAGTCCTCATTGTGGTCTCACTGGAAACGTGGACAGTTCCCTTGAGCAGTGGAATGGTTTTCAAAGCAAAATTAACCTCGCTGTTTAAGGCTGTAAATGAATCATGCAAATATAACTGCATAATGCAGACCAACGGTTCTACAAGTCCCCCACAAGACTGAAATCTGAAATTCTGGTTATTAAAATAGGATAGGGGAAATGTTTACAATAAAACACAATGCAATGCGAAGGTATCTGTAGGGCTAATCTATTCATCGCGCTTAACATTATTTAATTTGAGCGTTTTCTTCGGCTTTTACAACATAAATTTCTCGTTTCTCAGACAGAGGCATGAGAAATGTGTCAATTCTGATGTGAGCCATGTGTGAAATACACCTGTGCATACCTTTTGGACTCTTCTGTACTCGACTGAACAAACGTTTAACAGGTCAACACAATCTAGACAACACGAGAATACACCAAGGTGTAACACCACCAAATAACAAAAAAAACCCATCATTTTAAGGAAGAAGAAAACTTTTAAGACATTAAAAGGGATTTATCTCATAAAAATAATTTTGTAATGATGTTTTATTTTCCAGATAACCACACAATAATATTATATCAGAAAAGTCGTGTCTTCGGCTGATATTCCGATATAATTGTAGAGAAATGTTTTCGTACATCCTTTATTGAACAGTTACTTTTGATTGATATTTTATGTACCAAATCATGAATCAATGCAAGTTGTGCGGTTATTTTTAAGACGTCCATAACAACATGAGTACATCACCCTGCTTGGAACACCATCAGTCTATTGTTCGTTTAATTCATTGTTAAAACAGCCCTTTACTTAAGAAACCGATCACTAAGTTACAACGACTTTCTGGAATCTTTTAAAGCAAGTCTGTTATTGATTTCGTCAAACCTACCAGCTATTTGCGCTCCTACTTTCCCCGCGTTTTATTTTTATATCTGGAAATGCGTTTATTTATTGTTTTATTCTGATGGACTGTCAACACTGCCAAAAGACGGAAAAAAAATGTAGTTTACCAAGCCCCGTAAAAAAGTTTGTGAAAGTGCCTGACGTCACTCCCACAATGCTCCCGCTCCAGAACTGTGGTGCCGCAGGCTGGGGAGAAGAAACGTTCAGGCCCTGAAAAAAGAAAAAATATAAAAAAATTGGAAAAAATAATAAAACCGCTGATCGAGGAGAGAAAGGCCAGGAAAGGTGATGTGGGAGATCCCACGGTAGGTTTGCGTCTGGTCTGGGATAAAATGTTGCCGGGGTTGCTTGAGACATTGACTACTGAAGTGCTGGAAAGTTTTTGGTGGTTATAGCTGTGCTTTTTTTTTTTTGCAAGTCTTCTAAAAGTGGCTACAGTTTGTGATGGGATTTTTTATAATACGATTTGAACGGTAAAGGTTATAGTAATCGTGCGATTTCCCGTTGGAGAGCACTAACTTCAGATTTTCTATCACTTTTGTTTCCAAATGCGTTTTTTAAAAAGTGACCGTTCGTGTGGTAAGACCACTTTTATGCTACTTGTTTAGTTGGAGCATGTATGAGCATCGGGGTATTTAATTTTTAATTACGTGATCGCCTGGTCGCTGCAAGTTTGTCGATAAATATGCGTGGTTTTAATTTAATTGTGCTCTGGTCAAAATGCATTTCGTTCCCGGTGGGCTTTACTTATCTAATTGATGCTCTGGGTGAGTTTTACGGGAATAATTACTTTTTACGGATTTAATTTGTATTTATCTTTCCTGAATGGAGACCGTGCCATTGGACACAGACACAGGGACCGAGCGAGCGTTCATGGTTCATTTTTGAGGCATTTTATGAAGTGTTAAGCCTTTTGGATTTCTGCTTGTTTGTTTTGCGCAATATTGTTTCCACTTTGTAGAAGTGCTGCAAAGCAACAACAAAAAAAAAACTTAAACAATTTGAAAATTTGTAACCACCCCCAACTCCCCGAATATCTCGAGTGTGTAACCCAGCGATGTTGTATTTGGTGTTGTCGTCAGTTGTTTTTTCCTAGATTATTTTCCGTTTTACAATCTGGCTCTTAGTTTTCTTATTTACTTAATCTGCCCGGGAAAAATACGAGCATCCTGCTACGAGAAAGACACAGTAATTTTATTGCCAGCTTTCGATGCTGAACTGATACCGAGTTTGATTTTGTTCTTTTTTTTTCAAGAGTTTGGTTGTGCGTTTTTCTAACTGTGCATCAGAATATGATGGTTTGCTTAAGATACATGAGTACTGTTTCCACTCCAGTAGTTTACGGCTTTCATGTGTATCATTGCGGGGACGAGTAAAACATTGCAAGCCACTTATCTTCTTGAATTAAGGAACAATAGATTTCCTTCTTTTAAGTGCTGTATCTCTTCCTTGACGATTTGCTCGTCAGCAGTTTCTCTTTCGCTATAAGGAAGAAAAAATATCGAATAGCTAAATTTGCACATACTCGCAGAATATCCTTATTTCCCTGAACTGATTTTTTTTTAAAAGTTGAACTGTTTTAAAAGTGATAAACAATTTTAGAGGCTGAAGATTGAACGACCGATATCCGACAGCGAACGAGTAATGTATAATTACTCTAACAACAATCCGTCTTTGCTTTTGTTTAAAATACTCATTTGGAAAAAAAATGCACATCTTTGCTGTGATTGTCAATAAACGTCTGTCCAAGCACCTGTCTTGTTTTCGCATCATGCAGCGAGGAGCTCCGTGAAAGTTATCTTTTTTTTAACATAACCGATTATTTAATTTCAAGCTACGTCTAAGTTTTAAAATGCATTTGATTAAAAAAAAAAACGACTTCAGACCATGCAAGACCGAAAACCGTGATCACTAAGGAGAACTAGAGTTTATCTTCTTCTTTGTTTATTAAACAATTTACTGCAGACCCAGATTCTACACCATGTCCTGCAGCAGTTCATTTTTTAAAGATGATCCTCTTGTTACGTAGAACAGTGACAGACATTCTAGAGCCTCACCTATTTCCATAGCCGAAAGCTACATAATAAGGAAATGGAAACGAGATTGTCACGAGACAATGGTTTTCTTATTGATCTTGCAGTGCAAGACAAAGCAGATATTAACGTGTTGTTTTTTTTCTGTTGCCATAAACCTGACCAATGTATGGGTCACATTACCTTATCTGGGTGTCTCTCAGGTTGCCCCTTAAGTTGGAAAAAATAACAATAACCTGTTATAGCAAAACTATTGATCTCGTTTAATCCGCAAAGGCTCGGCAGGATTTTGTGCAGTTAAATCAGGACCTGGTTACCAGTTTGCATTTGAAAATACTTTTTTTTTTATTGTTACAAGAACATTATTTGATTAATGTCTGGTAGTTTGAGCTCAAAGAGACCTCTTTGAAATCGTTTCTGCTTTTAACTTAACTGTGCAATTCTCTGAGAATAAATTTGCTTCAAAAGTACTGCATTATGCAAGACAAAGCTGGGGAGTATCCAATATGGAAAGACAAGTGAGCTATACAGTACTAAATCGCTATCTGCTTTTCTGTACATTGTGGGTCTCAAATCTGTTATAGATGTTTCTGCAGTAAATCATTTTCAACATTTATTTAATTTGTCTCTCTGCAGAGCATCCTGAGTGACGTTTAGATCATTTATAACATTACATCTTCCTGATAAAGATAAAATAGGAGCATACTGTGATGTTAAGGTAGTAAAAGACGTGTTTGTCCTGGTTGATTGAAATGGCAGTGCAGATTCGTTATGGCAACTAAATTTAAATGATTGAAGTATTCTTAGAGTGAAGTAGCCCCTTAAAAGCAAATCTTAATCTCTATATATGGTATTCGATGGGGGAAGCGGGTGTGGAACTCCATGATCTATTCTTCATTTCTTTCACAACCATTTCTCTGGTGGTGTACCTCTCTTTTAATTTTGTTGCAGTCTTATATTTCGATGTATTCAGTAAAGGGCCCCTACCTTCCAGCACTCCTTTGACACGCGAACATGTGAGAGTATACAACTGATGCACAACCTACAGGTTGTGTCAATCTGCCAGATTGGTATTTCTTTTTCAACCTTCTTTAACAAAATATTGTAGGATTAATTGACATTGCCATGTCAAAAAAAGATCCTCCAGTATTGGGGCATGCCCACTTATTACCCAATCAATTTAGGCGCGCGCATTTGCTAGCATTTCAGGGTACAAATTCATTGTCGTTGTCTGAAAGTGTTCGGCCACATTGCGCTCTAGCGGATGAAAGGAACTTTCCTTTGCATTTTGAAATGTTTTGTTGGAGTTGTGTTCCTGGCATGCAAACCACTATTCTTTCACAATTGTGTTTTTCAAAAGTCAGTAAAAAGTAAGCCTGTTGAACAGAGTGCTGATGAAAAACAGACCCACTGTGCAGGACACCATCCACATTCTAACTCAACTTGCAGTATTCAGCATCTGAAGTAGTAGGAAGATGTGAGATACTTGATCCCCATATTGTGATAATTCCTAAGGCTTTCCACTGAAGTGCCTAACTATTTAGTTTAAACATTCCTGAATTGTACACTTCTGCTCCATTGTAATTAAATCTGGGATTATCGGATTCTGTATTTGTTTGCTTCTTAAATTTTCTTCATTGTTGGTGTGCGTGAACCTTTCAAAGGGAAGCATCCCAAGTTTTAATAATCAGTGATTGGTGTTTGTATTTGAAGCATACTTTTAAGGACCTTAATTGTATCATTTTTATAACCATACCACTGAGGTATGCATCGTCTTATTTTCTCTGGATTTTTGAAAAAGATAAAAGATGTTCCTTTAAGTGCTGATTTGTAAGAATGTGCGATTTGTTAACAAGTGTAAGTGCTTTTTATATTCGTTTTTTTTTTTGGTACGTTTGATTGTGTCCTTAACATTCTGCAAGTATCGTTTTTGAAGTTTATCTGTGAGGCACACCAGCCAAAACAAAATAATTTTAAATCACAAAAGAATAAACCGACCACAGGCTTTCCTTCTGAGTTGGATGTTTCCTGTGAACATCCTTAATTCTTGTAACTTTGTGAAATTATGTTTTCGGTCCAGTTTTTTTTGGGGGAGAAGTTGTAATTGCACCATTGCAATTGTTTTTGTTTGGGTTGTCTGCAAGCAACTAGTATTTGCAGAGTAGTTCTCCAAACCTCAAAAACAAACCATTATGCAAATGTCAGTGGCTCTAACTTGCATAGAGCCCTGATGAATTAATTACATAAGTGGGCCTACTTGCAGACCAACAAGTAATGTTCTAAAGTGCCCTACTGTATGGGAGACTAGTTGTTATGCAAACACATTCTCCTTATGAAATCCTAGTTGATTTTTAGGATATGTTTAATCCTGCTGCATTTCTTGTCAGATGTACTGTACTACTGCTTACTAAAATGGCCAATGTTTCAGCTCCTCAGTGTAAATTGATTGTTGTGTATTTAGCTGCTCTAATAAATACCAAAATAGAAGCATGTCAAATGGCTGTACACCTCTGCCCGCAGTTGTCTGTACAGTATAGCAACAAGCCTTAAGCGATTGGTGCTCGTGTGTTTGCTTTGGTTAAAGTTCTGTAAATAATTGAGTAAAGAGGAGAGTTGCAAAGTGGCTGCACAACCAGATCTGGAAATGAAATCCACAGATTTGCTCAGTCCACAGCCTCTCTTGATCCTTTTTAATTTTCCTTTTGCTTCGTAATGGCAGCATATGAAGAATTCTGGGTAAAAAATAAACACCAGTGTACTATTAGTTGTGTACAAGGGTCCTATTGCTTATTTTAAACAAAACTGTGATCCTCCTTTTCCACTCTAAGACATAAACAGTGGTGTTGTGCCTTTGTTTGGAATATCCCAAAGCTCTGGAGTTGAATTTGCTGAAATTGACAAACTTATCCGATTTACTCTGTGTAATAGTTTTTGCCTGTGTCATTTGATTTTATTATCCCATCACTTTGTTTGGAAAAAAAAATAAAAGGTGATTTGAGAATAAAGTCTAAATGAAGTTTGTTTTACTTAATATTTGTTTGTTTTTTAACATTAATGTTAAAATTAAAATGCCAGTTCTTCCATGTACACAAGAAAGATAACTAAAAAAAAACATTGTTTTGGTATCCATAAATTAAATCAATGCAAAATAGATTGATAAAGAGACTTAATATGACTAGGCACATAGTGGAGAATGCACTAGGGTTTAGTAAACAAGTTCTTGGTGTTTAGCAGAAAATGTGAATTGTATCAGAGTTTTTAGTAGCGGTTTG